CGCGCTAAGGGCAGGGCAGAAAAAAAAAAAGTTTAGCGAAGTGGTGGGCCCGAGGAAGGAACAGTCCCAGGAGGGAACCAGCTCTATACCATGTGAGAATAATAGGAATGAATGAAGGAAGTGAGAATGATTGCACTAGCAAGCAGTTGAGTACATATAGGAAACCCTAGATTGGGTTGTACTCACTATTGAGTACCCCACTGCAGGCTAGACAAATATAACATTCTGACAGTCGAGGCAACTGTAGCAGCGGTGTGCAAAGTGGTCAGGACGCCAGCAGGTAGTGCCAGCACCAGGGCCAGTCAGGATCCGGTATTGGCAGGGGCCGACGTCGCGACCACCGCGACGAGCCCCCCAGCTAGCTGGACCGCTGCTGCAGCCAACGCTACCTAAACCACGAGGCCCCCACGGCTGCTGAGGGCGCCACTGCTGCTGAGGGCGCCACTGCTGCTGAGGGCGCCACTGCTGCTGAGGGCGCCACTGCTACTGAGAGTGCCACTGCCGCTGAGGGCGCCACTGCTGCTGAGGTTCCCACTGCTGAAACTGCCGCTGCTATTGTCCCTGCTGCTGGAGAACTCTAGTGGACGCCATGGTGAAAATTGGCGAGGAACGGCCGGAGCACGGAGCAAACTGAGCTAGAAGCGACTGGAGCAGGAACGGCTGGAGTGAGACACGGCCGGAGCTAGAAACGGCAGGCTAGAAACTATAGGCTCGAGGAGCGGTTGGAGCGAGGAGCGAGAACAACTAGGAGCGCCAGGTGAAACTAGGCGAGGAGTAGCGGCCTCCAGCCGCGACGGAACGGTGAGCCCAGTGAAGGAACGGTAGAGAACGGGAAAACCGACGGTGAGAAAACCCGAGAACGGCCTGCTATGGGCCGTGGCGCGCTAGAGGTGCCAGCAGCTGCGAGAGGTGCCAGTGGGCGGCTAGAAGGAGGTGTGGGCAGCTAGGAGGAGGTGTGGGCGGCTGGGAGGAGGTGTGGGCGGCTAGGATGAGGTGTGGGCGGCTAGGAGGAGGTGTGGGCGGCTAGGAGGAGGTGTGGGCGGCTAGGAAGGTACGTGAGGTGCTGGGGCGCGCATGTCTGGCCAGGGGCGCGCGCTGCTATGCCCGGGTGACGCGCGCTGCTTTGCTAGGGCGCGCGTTGCACTGCAGGGGCACGCGTTGCTCTGCACGGGCGACGCGATGGGCTGAGGCAGGGCGCACGGGCGACGCGACGGGCTGGGGCAGGGCGCACGGGCTACGCGACGTGCTAGGGTAGGGCGCACGGGCTACGCGACGGCTGGGGCAAGGCGCACGGGCTACGCGACGGGCTGGGGCAGGGCGCACGGGCGACGCGACGGGCTGAGGCAGGGCGCACGGGCGACGCGATGGGATGGGGTAGGGCGCACGGGTGACGCGACAGGCTGGGGCAGGGCGCACGGGCTACGCGATGGGCTGGGGCGGAGGCGCGATACGGAGGGCGTGGAGGGCGCGTAGGGGAGGGCTAGGCGCAGAGGCGCGGAGGGCGCGTTACGGAGGGCGCGGAGGGCGCTTTACGGAGGGCGCGGAGGGCGCTAGGGCGCGGAGGGCACTAGTGCGCGGAGGGCGCTAGGGCGCGGAGGGCGTTAGGGCACGGAGGGCGCTTGGGCGCGTTACGGAGGGTGCGTAAGGCGCGGAGGGCGCTAGGGCACATGACGGAGGGCGCTAGGGCACGGAGGGCGCTAGGGCGCGGAGGGCGCTAGGGCGCGGAGGGCGCTAGGGCGCGTGGCGGAGGGCGCTAGGGCGCTAGGGCGCTAGGGCGCGTGACGGAGGGCGCTGGGGCACGGAGGGCGCTAGGGCGCGTGACGGAGGGCGCTAGGGCGCGGAGGGCGCTAGGGCTCGAGGGCGCGAGCTAGGCTAGGCTAGGCAATGATTCTAAACCTACTCGTGATACCATCTTAGAATTAGAATGCATCGGAATACCGTCATCGCCCGGATATAAGACATATATGTCTTATCTCGTACACGGGCAAAAATGCTTGAGTTATCTTGTAAACGGGATGGTTTAGGGTGTCTTATAAGTCTTATAAATGGAAAAAAAAATAAGTTGACTGTAACACTTGCAAAGTGTGTAGAAAACACCCAGAGACCAGATTCATTGAAACAGGCCGACCTCGGTGGTGATGCATGCAGCGCCCACACTTGCCACGTGAGGGAGCTGCCACCGCTGGCAATATTCCTCTGTGCTGGCAGCATCTAATGATGCTGCCAGCGTCGTTTTGCTGCCAGCAGCGCAGGGATGCTTCCAGAACGCTGCTGGCAGCACGTTGGCAGCGTGAGGGCTGTCCTCTACGAGGAGATGCCTCGTAGAGGAGCGGCTCGGCACCTGTGGATGGGGCACTCTGGCTGGGGGGGGTAGTCGGCCTCTCACTTCATTTGGTGCTCAAGGGTTTAGGAATACTCGTCTCAACCTTGCTCTCGGCAGGCTTTCTAACCATGCGCAGCAAAGTACCCCCAGGCTCGTCCTCTCCTCGTCCTCACGTGCAGGTGAATAACTACGGGCGAATTAACTCGCCCGGCGATGACATCCGTGTAGCCATGGCGAAGAACGCGAGCAAGGCGGGAAGTCCTACCGCGGCCTCCGGTGCGAGCTGTGACGGGGACGACGGAGAAGAAGCGAACGGCGACGACGCCGAGGAGGAGGATTGGCCAGAGAACGGCCACGACGACAGCGCTTCGGGCGACGAATTAGGTCCTGCCGACATCGAGGAGGACGAATGGTGGAATCGGCCGGTCGGGAGCGACGACGAGGTGGAAGAGTGGCGGGCTGGAGATTCGGACAACGACGGAGGTGAAAATGCGAATGGTGACAACGCGGAGGCAGCGGCGGATGCACAGGAAGCGGCGATGGATGTGAATGAGGAGGCTGAAGACGGCGCGGCCGCAGTTGCGGATGCGGATGCTGTGGCAGAGTCGGACACGGTTGCTGCGGATGCCGTCTTATTTGACGGTGAAAGCGGCGACGACGACCCATGTAGCCTTGGGACAGACGACGACGTTCCGCTACTGAAGCGGAGGCTGCGCCATCGCCTACAGTCCAAGTCGAAGCGGGCCCGCGTGGTGCTCTCTGACGACGACAGTCCGGGGGAGGAGCGTCGCCCGAAACTCACCGCTGCGGAGAAGGGAAAAGCCAAGGTCGCGGAAGCCCCTGCTAAGGCCCCTGCTAAGGCCCCTGCTAAGGCCCCTGCTCGTCGCCGCACAAGCAACAAGAAGCGGACATCCGACGGAGACCCGGGATCTAGCAAGGGTGCGGCTAAGAAGAAGGCGATGAAGGCGCCGAATCCTGACGACATCGTCGTGAACGAGACTCTGGGCAGCGACGATGAGTACGCGGCGGCGGCGGGCCCGATTCCCACGTTCCCTGAGAAGGTCACGCCGAAGGACCCCACCCTCCATAATCCCAACACCCGCCTACCTTCCCCTCGCAGCAAGGACACTACGAGGAAGCGCCGCAGTTGGACCGTGCGTGAGAAGCTTAAGTGGGCGCGCCGCTATCTGGAGCTCGGCTCCTTGAAGAAGACGAGCGTGGAGTCAACCGCGTCCATCGCCTGCATCAGACGCTGGAGTGCGGAGGCGGCTGCGGGCGTCTACAAGGGCGCGGCTAACTGCCGCAAGCGGATGCACGGGGGGGGGGGCACTCACACTACCCCGACATGGAGGCAGCGTTGTACCGCTACATCTGCCTTCAGCGCGCTAACGGGGTGGCCATCTCGGTGAAGGACACCCAGAAGTGGAGCCGCGAGTGGATGAAGAAGCATCACGCCGGCAAGAACTGGAACGCGAGCTCTCACTGGAGCCAGCGTTTCCGTGACCGCTGGAACCTGGTGATGCGGGTGAAGACCAAGGTCGGCCAACGACTGTCGGCAGGTGCGTGTTGAAGGAATTCGTGTCGCGCGCGGGCTATTGAATGCATGTCCCTCACCCAGTGTCTAACCATCCCGTGTTTCCGTTGCGCGTGTACCGTTTGCAGAGTGCGCGAAGGACTGCGAGTCCTTCTGGAAGTTCGTGCGCATCAACAGGGTGCGGCACAACATCGACCTGGCCCGCATCATCAACGCGGACCAGACTCCACTATTCGTGGAGATGCCAGCCGAACGGACGATCGAGCACCGCGGCGCGCGCTCGGTCCCAATCCGCACTGCAGGCTACCAGAAAACGCGCTTGACGGTGATGCTCGCGTGCACTGCATCCGGGGAGAAGCTGCGGCCGTGGGTGTGGTTCAAGATGAAGAACGTCCCCAACTGTGAGATTCCGGAAGGTAAGCGTAATGAATTCAACTGTGCGACTGCCTGATGAGCGTGCCCCACTGTGCTGAAGCCCGTCTGTCCCTTGTGTGCCTGGCAGGAATCGTGGTCCAAGCACAGGACAACGGGTGGATGGACGAGAGCGCTGTGCAGACCTGGCTGTCCAAGGAGGTGCTGCCCCATCTGAACCCCCAGCGCGGCCAGAACGCGAGGCGTGCGATGCTGGTGTTGGACTCCTACCGCGGTCACATCACCTAGACCATGCTTCAGTCGTACCGCACGCACAGCATCACCCCTGCAGTCATCCCAGCGGGTTGTACGAGCCAGATTCAACCCCTGGACGTCTCAATCAACCGGTGCTTCAAGGCTGCTGTGCGAGCGCGCTACGCCAGGTGGTTCATGCGTGAGGGGATTCACCTGAAGACGAATAAGGGTGAGTTGGTCCTTCATTTATGGTATTATTCCTATTCTGTTTCCTGTCCTTGTCTTAAACATGCTCCTTCATGTCCGTCTCTCTAACATCTCGCTGCCCCGTCCTCAAACCCACCCGCAGGAAACCTGCGGAGGCCGCCCCACCCCGTGGTGCTGCAGTGGATCGCGGAGGCTTGGGATCAAGTCCCCAAGCAGATCATCATCGACGCGTTCCGCCACTGTGGGATCTCAGGCAAGCTGGACGGAACGGAGAACCACCTGGTGATGTCTCACCTGCGCGCCAGGAGCACCACTGATGTCTCCGCGGACATGTCCCTCGGGGGGACCACAGGCGACAACACGCGCCTGCTCGGTCGGGCTCCAGAGGAGGAGGAGGAGGAGGAGGAGGAGGAGGAGGAGGAGGAGGAGGAGGAGGAGGAGGCGATGCAGGCGGAGGGCGTGCGGGAGGTGGCAGTGGCAGCCGGCCTGGAGGTGCTGTACCAGGAGACCCCCAACTACCGCGGGGCGGCGGCCGAGGCTGACCGCATGATCGAGCCTAGGGAGACGGCTAGGCATGCCTGGCGAGTGCCAGACTTGGGTGTAGAGCCTGTTGTTAGCGCAGGCGAGGAGGCGGTGACTGAGGGGGGTTAGGTAGAAGTAGAGATTCATGAATGTATGCATGTACCCCCCTAAAGTAAAGAAGGCTCGTTTAGAAGACACCCCCTGTTTATAAGAAAACCCCTAAACCCCGGTTCTGATTATAAGACATATATGTCTTAACTCGTACACACAAATAGGTGTCGTATAAAAAGGCTAGCCTGTTTATAAGAGATACCCGTATAGTAGACAACCCCTGTCTACTATTCAACACTGTCTTATATCCGGGCGATGACGGTATGTGAACTAGGAAAGCAAGGGATACAAATAGCAACCCTAAAAGTGTTGTACTCCCTAGAGTGCTACTTACTGTAGCCTAAGAACATATAACAACATTTGACACTTGGCAACAGGTTTCTTGTCAGGTACTTTAGGTAAGCCACTCGCGTCGATTCCCTGGTCGGCATCTGACACCTTCTTGTTGTTCCTTGTGCTACGTCCTGTCAGAATCCCAACCACTAGACCATTGGGATAAAAGGGTTTTTTTGTGTAGCGGGTGAGTGCGCCCATAACCCCCCAGGCCAACGTGCCTGTAACCCTTCCATAGGATCAATCGGGAATCTCCAGTGGACCTCTGACACGTCATTTTGGCATGGTGCGATCATGAGTGATACTTGACAGCCCAGCAGAGGCTGACAAACAAGTGGTTATGAGCACAACACTTCGCGACATTGTTGCTTTATAACACTTGTGTTTGAAGTTAAACCTCTGTAGCTCCAGGCTTGAATGATGAAGCAGCAAACTTGAGAGCTACACAACAGCGTTCCTTGGGTTTGCATTTCCTTGAGCATTGCTTGATGGTTTCGTTGTGTTTGTTGTAAGCCGCGATAGAATCCCATGCCATTGAAGTCGGTGCTTGTAGTAGCCATGTGTACTTGCACGAGGATAAGGGTAGGTGTAGTCCAGCAGATAGCCTGGAACTCGTAAAAAATGTGTTTAGGGTTCCGTGTATGAACACTAAAACTATATCGCTGTATAGAGCTTAAAGCGCGGCTTCGGCTGATGGCTTCAAGTCCGTTATCATGCATGAAATTGTAACTCATCATTGGCGTTAAAGCTACTGGTCATGGCCATGGCTGCTGTAAGGCGGAGAGCGCAATGTAATCTCAGAGGATTTTGCGGCTTATAGCAGCTGATTTTTTTTTCTGATAATGCGCCTCCTCACTATTAGCAGTTCACATAAGGAGTACATGCAAACTCACTCGGATTGGCGTAAATTGCGCCGTAGCATGCGCGAGATGTACGCGTCTGACGGGTTGATCGAAAATTCAACCGTACTGTAATCATGCGTTTGGTCTCAAAAACGTTTCCGAAACGATATTTGAATCGCGATCAACATCGTCAACCAATCACTCGCGGTTCCAGCTTTCGTTTCAGAATCAGTTTTCGCAAATATGCGTCGTATCCACGCCAATTCCCGCTCTCAAGGCGCATTATGGGTTTTTACATATAAATCATCGTGCGATTCGGACTGACGAACTTCAGGAAAGTCAAAACAATTGACTCGCGTAGCGAGTCAGTGATGACTCTTCCATTTGTGGAAGCAACAGGTAGAAGCTAATCAGTTCATGTTCATCGCATCAGAGAATCTCCTATCGCCTTCACTCTCGCATCCGTGTACGCAGATCCAGCAGAGAAGCTGCCACTGCGGCTCACCATATCTTGGCAGCTAAAAAATCTCCTCGATCGTAGCAACCTCGACTGGTTTACAAAGAAGCGAAAATGGCTTTTTCCGGCCTGACACTTGCTAAGACTACTCTCCTCGTGGTAGTCATCGTATCCGTGATTATGTTTTCCTCCGCCGCAGAAAGTCCCCCCGACGCGACAAATTCTGCTAATGGGAATGCGCCTGCGGCTGCTTCTGCCAGTTACGGAAGTGCTACTAAAATTGATAACAGCAGCAGCGCCGTAGCGGTGACGGCGAGGCCAAGCAACTGGACAGGCCAAGGTATCAACGCCACGTGCGGTTATTTCGGCAACTACAGCACCAACCCCTACTTCGACATGGGACTCACCGTGAAGCTTCCTGGCTCTGACTTCGGCAATATCTGCGGCGCGTGCTATGCCATTTCGTGTATCAACGACACGAAGCGATGCCGCAATGACAAGGCGATCGTGACCGTCCGTGTGGTGGGCGAGTCAGAGACGGGAAACCAGCTTGCAATCTCCAAAGCAGCCTGGTCCAAGATCGTGGAGGATTCAGAAGATAAGGCGCATGTTAACATCACGTACAAGCGCACCAACTGCGTGTCGACCGTCGGAACGCAGGTTCGCGTGCGCAGCGTATCATCAGCGGAGAAGTTCAACATTCAGATCGTGGGGCTTGCCGCTTCGAGCACGCTTAACCAGGTGGAATTAAGCGCGGACGGCAATACGTGGGTTAATCTGACGCGGGACAGCAGCAACGCCGGTGTGTGGGGAATCAAGGGCAACGAGTCGAAGGCGGTCGTGGGTATGAAGAAGCCGATAAGCGTTCGCCTCACTGCGGGAGACACGCTCGAGACGGTCATTCTGGAAAATGTCATACCTGCTCTCTGGAAGGCCTCGACGGATTATACGTCGAAGTCCAACTTCAGGAATCTGATGGTTGAAAGCAAGTAGCCGCGTCAGTGCGAGGAGCATTCGAGGCGCCGCTGCAGTACTCGTCGAAATTCAACTTCGAGGCGCGCGTGGCTGAGGGTAAGTGGACATTAAAGACGCCGCCTTGAAAGCCCCTGTGCTCGTCGATTACCAACTCCTAAGGAGGCGAATTCCAAGGCAATTAGGCGCCGGCAGTGTGAGGGATGAAGGAAAGTGAAGAGATGCTCAGTCGAGGTGCTTTTTACCCAAGTTAGTCGCTGTATTCTAGGGGGTAACGGTTCGGAGTGGAGTTGGGTGTAGGGAAGTGGGGTGGCGGGGGGGGGAGAGGAGTGGGTTAGCGGGGTAGTGGGGGAGGGGAGGGTGATGTTGCTAGGAAAAAATCAGATATTGCTTTGCTTGAGACATTGTGCCATATTTTGCATGACCAGTCCCAATGCATCAAACTCACCGTTGGGATGAGAATCGGAACATGAGAATCAAAGCATCAAACTCAATGTTGAAGGTAGGGTGCAAAGATCAGAGAGGTGCAATCTGGTTGGAAGCATCACTACATAACCTGAGGCTAATTCCTTTGCTTGGATTTTGTAAGCTTGAACTAGGGCAACACAAATACGGTAGCATAATGGAAAACAAAAGCATTCACGAGCATTTCTTAGTCCCAGCACCATCACACTCCCCTGCCCAACCCAGTAACCCGTTCCCTTTCCACTGATCCATTTCCCTCCCAGCCGCAAACCCCTAGCATTCAGCCAGTGAAAGCATTTAGACCAGGGCCTCAGATTCACTTTTAGGGTCGTATACCCTTCAGGGTCCCCTTGTGTGTAAACTCTGATTGAAAGTGTTCCTACAAAAAAAAGCCTGAAATGACAGTGTTGTGCTAAAAAAGAGACTGATCCATCAGGGTTCCACTAGTAAAAAAGCTGAAACTAATGTAAAGTCTTGATTTAAAATTCAGGAGTACAGTAGCTTCCTAGAAAAGAGCAGCTGCTCTTATCTAATAGGAGTCATGCATGTATCAGCATCGGAACCAGACTCATCATCACTCCCCTGCGTCTTTGGTTCTTCCCACTCCTCAAGTGCCTCCTTTCCCCTGCCACTTCCCTCCCCCTCTCTTGCTGGAGGTGCTGCCACATTACCAAATGGCCGGCGCTTCTTGTAGCTGCGCCAGATTTTCACCAGATCGTTGTAGTCAGGCTCGTAGTCGAGGAGCGACATCGTGACGAGATCTTCAAGCCGACGTCTTTGAGGCTCCCACGCTGCCACGATTTGATGATATTCTGGCGGGAAAACCCGCGCTCACATTCCACTGTGCTCAGCGGCAGCACTGCGACAGCCACCCAGAGACGCACGAGGTTGGGGTAGCTAGTCGTCCAATCGCTTGTCTTCAGCATCGCTGTTAGCCCGGCGTGGAAGCTTCGCTCGTTATTCGGGGCACCTGCGAGGATGGGGCAGAAGGCACGCAGTTCTTTCATCGCCCGCAGTTTGTCGATCCCTGCCACACAAAACAGAAGGGAGATTGTCAATTAGATTGGATGGCTTGGCATGGTATACCCGTGTATGCATGGCACTGTTGAAACATAGGAACAAAGAGAATCATGGACAACAAGGGTGCACAAAATGCGAGAACCTGGAAGGATGTGGTCAGTCTCCTGTGCCTTGAACAGCGAGACGAGTGACATGAGCCACTCGACACACTGTTTGTGGCGCTCAGCTCTCCCAGGCGGGTACTCGTCTGGCATGAAGAGCCTCACTCCACCAGGTTGTCCAAGTCTTCAAACCTCTTGCTGAGGTTACTGACGAGCGTCTCGGCAAATGATGTGCAGAGATCGACGCAGGCGTCGTGTGTTCCCAGAGTTGGGTAGTCCTCGCTTGGGTTCTCATGCAGTTGGAACTTGTGTGTAGTCGGCCGAGCGTCAGAGTCCACACCCTGCACCGTCACCTCGGGCTTGTCACTGTCAGGCCCATACTTCATGATGAACGGGGACAGGCGCACGCTCAACCCGCCTCCAAAATCGTCGCCGCAGTCGACGTAGCGGGTCTCCAGGTGAGACATGGTTCTGCGCATGGACACCTGCGATGTCAAGCTATGAGAGGGCGACAGAAATAACACAGAGGGACACAAGGAAAGCGAGCCGGGGGGGTGATTTATCAAACAATATGTGTTGTGCTTAAGCTCCCACAATATAAATGCATTGACATACACGCAAAGAAGTAACGCATACAAGAACTAGACATCATGAGAAGTGCAGCACACGCTGAAAGGACTTGTTGCTCACCTCTCGCTGTTGGAAGGACTTGTTCAAGATGTTCAGCTGCTCGAGCACGTCTGCAAGGAAGAACAACAAGAAATGGAACCTGTAGCTGGTGGCGAGCTTGTACAGAGTTTCGTCCCACTCAGACAGCATTACGATGAGCACAGGGAAGACCGTCACCGTTCGCAGAACGGCATCACCCCTGGAGAGCCAGCGGACTCGATGAATGCCTTGAAGCTCCAGATTCGTAGCCGTGAAGAGTTCCTGCAGCTCCAAAAATCGTTGGTGCCAGGGGCTGGAACGGCCGAGATACTCTGCGACTTGACGGATCAGCCCGTCCACCATGTCAAACTCGGGGATTGCATCCGCTGCATCTTTTGCCGCGAGGGCCTCCCTGCAGGCACATCACAACACAAACATGCAACACGGGGTATCAGCAAGGCCGAGATATGGATAATCAGGATTGGCGCTAGTACAAAAGCGAACGTACCTGTGGGCTATGCAGTGGCTTGAGACGAGATGCGGTATGCGGAGGCGCAGTCGAGCGACAAGACCATTCTTGCTTCCCATCATCACACTCGCGCCATCGGTGCTCATACCAGCGATCTTGGCAAGCTCGATGCCGAGGGCCTGCAGGTGGGACACAAACACGTAGAGTAGAGAGGCGGCGTCGCACTTCTCCACGGTCAGAAGGGCAAGGAACTCGGTGACGGCACGATTCTCCCGGATGAAGGTCGCGAAAATGATCATGTGCTTTCCCCGGCACCTGTCCGTGCTCTCGTCACATGTAATTCCGATGTAAGGACCTGTAAGGAGGTGCTGGAGTAGCGTTGTGTGCAACCACGTGGCAATCGCTTGTGTTAGTTGCCCAAAGCCGTACCTGTGGAGCATGTGAGCCAATGTTAGTGCTTACACAAAAGGTAAACAAAAGCAACATCACGAACAATATCTGACAGCGGGTACTCACGTTGTGTAATAGGTTCCGTATCCCTTTGCGTGGAATCCCGGAACCTTCTTCGCCGCGAGATAGCGAACAAGATGCACCCATAACTCAATGGGTGCAACTTGCCTGGTTACGAAGAGCAGAGAGTCGCACAGCGCGATGACGCGTTCCTTCTCGGTGTCGCGAGCGAGGTTGTCACCGTTGATCCGTGGCTGCCGGCCAGCTTCAGCAAGAAGCTTTTCCTGGTGCTTGACCGCCTCTTTGTGCTTCGTTGTTGCAGCATGCCTCTTGAAAGCCCGCGTCTGTACGTCCGACGCGCCCCTCCCGCCCTTCCCGCACTTTCCAGCGTAACCTGCATGCTCGGTACAGATAGAGCACTTGAAAGCTGGGAGACCGTCAGATTGCCGCAAAAGAATGAGCCACGGAAACCTGTCTAGCCACTCGGTCTTGTACTTATACAGAGACTCAGCGTAAATCGCGTCGCGTCCTGACAGCTTAGAAGGACCATGAACCGATGGCGACTCCTGTGGGCCGGCAATCACGGGCGACGACCGTTGGTCGGCTGGCGAAGGCGGGGTAGCTCCGTCGTCAGCGCCCTTTGTAAACCATGGCAGCGTTGACTGCATGTATCGGCTGGATTTCTTGGTCACGGGTTCGGGAGCTAGTTTTTCAGCTGGAGGCGGCGAGCTGTCCTGCTCCGTGACTGGCGCTGTCGGGGATGCACACCAACCCTCCTCATCGATGTGTTCGAACGGGATTTTGTCGGGCGGCTCGAGATCTGGTGGCTTCTCGTTGTCGTTGACTTCCGCTATGCTCGAAAACAATAAATCGAGGCCCGTAACTGCTTCAGAATGGACTACAGGCGGCTGGCGATGCGCTTGACCGCCGTGTTCGCCGTTTGTTTCCGTGCCGTCAAGGTGTTCCACCATGGTAAGCAGCGGGGACGGCCTCACATCTAAGCTAGCGACAACGAGAGGGATTGTTTCCAGAAAAAGCATAGGCCACGGCTGGCTGCCTCTTGGCACACTAGGAAGAAATGGGGAAACCCAGCTTCGGATGCAAAGCTTGGAGAAGAAGGGGCCCTTGGATGGCAACCACGGTGCATGGGCTGGGTTGTCAACGGGGCAAGAACGTTTGCAGCCCTCCAGCACCACATGGTGGCCACTGGCCACGTTCGGATTGGCCAAGAAAAGATGCTGCAGCAAAACGGCCCACTGATGTGTGGCGCCGCGCCAACAAAGCACCTCTCAATCGTGAATTTGAGGCAAAATTTGAGATTCCCTGTAATTGCGGTCAAATTCACACGACACAGGTAAGAATCGCTTTCAGTGTTAGTTTCGTTTCAACGTTGTGGCATCAGGTGTACTTGGAAAAAAAAAAAAACTGAAATTTCAGTGTGGCCTCACAAAAAAGGCTGAAAGATCAGTCCCACAAAAATCTTAACACTGGTTTTTCAGGGTAGGTTGAGAATGGACTGCCAAAATCAGGAATTTCAGGGTTTTTTTCCTGATATATGAGGCCCTGATTTAGACCAAGTATCATGTCCCATTCCTTCATCCCTAGTTTCCAGTCTAGAGAACAATGCTCTCCCATTTTATTTGCCCAATGTGGCATTGATCCTTTAGTGCACTAGGGAAGAGAACCTTCTTTAGTGGCACCATTCTTGCCCTCACTAAAAAGTGATGCTCTCCATAGTACCATACTTGCAAGCAAATTGGTCATGCAAAATACAACTACACAATGCGTTAAGCTAAGAGATGATTGAATTGGCATTCTTCAAATAGGTGTAGTGCTGATACGCCCATTTGTTACAAGACCACCACGCT